TATAAATGTACTTGATCTATCAGCAGAACCTTTATCCATTCAATAATCCCCTGGCATTGGTCAGTTCTGGTGGCCCGATTATAGGAAGGATATTATTAAGCTAGAGAGGGTTCAGAAAAGGTTTACCAGTATGTTGCCGGGCATGGAAGGTTTGAGTGATAAAGATAGGCTGGGACTTTTTTCACTGGAGCACAGGAGGATGAGAGGAGACCTTATAGAGATCATGAGGGGCATAGATAGGGTTGATGATAGATGTCTTTACCCTAGGATTGGGGGCTTTCAAGACTAGGGGGCACATTTTTAAGGTGAGAGGAGAAAGATTTTAAAAAGACATGAGAGGCAATTTTTTTAAAAAAAAAAAGGTGGTTTGCATGTGGAATGAACTTCCGGAGTAAGTGGTGGATGTGGGTAAAGTTACAATGTTTAAAAGATGTTTTGGATAGATACATGAATACGAAAGTTTTGGAGGGATATGGGCCAGGACCAGGCAGGTGGGACTAGTTCAGTTTGGGATTATGTTCGGCATAGACTGGTTGGCCCAAAGGGCCTGTTTCTGTGCTGTATGACTCTATGACTCTACACTCTTTAATCTAGCATATTGGTTACATTACCAACTAGTAATCCAGAAATAGGGGCTAATCTCTGGCGACAATGAGTTCAAATCCCATGAAGGTGGGAGAAGGAGGGTATATAAAATTAAAATCATGAATTTAGTTTGGAATTGAGAAGCTTGCTTCAGTAATAATGACAATTGGATTGCTGTGAAAACCCATTTGGTTTTGGCTTGGGTTCAAGTCCCGCCTGCCCTAGAAATACATAATAATAACAACTGTGAACAGGTTGATTAGAAAATATTTATAGAGAAGGAAATCTGCCTTCCTTACCCTTATCTGGCCTACATCCTTTCCTTTTCACTGCTTCTGAAATGACCTGTCCAAGATATTGGTGAGGCAACATTTGGAGTATTGTGTACAATTCTGGTCACCCTGCTGTGGGGACAATATTATTAAACAGGGCGCAAAAAAAGATTTTACGGGGATGTCACTGAGACTGGAAGGTTTGAGTTACAACGAGAGGCTGGATCGGCTCGGACTGCTTTTCCCTGGGGTGTAGGAGGCTGAGGGGTGACCTAATAGAGGTTTGTAAAATCGTGAGGGGCATAGATAAGGTGAATTTTGAAGGTCTTTTTCCCAGGCGTAGGGAAGGCCAAAACTAGAGGGCATATTTTTAAAGTGAGAGGGGAAAAGTTTAAAAGGGACCTGAGGAACAACTTTTTCACGCAGAGGGTGGTGTGTATCTGTAACGAGCAGCCAGAGGAGGTGGTAGAGGTGAGTACAATTACAACATTTAAAAGACATTTGGACAGGTGAATGGGTAGGAAAGGTTTAGAGGGATGTGGGCCAAACGCTGGCAAATGGGATTAGTTCATTTTGGAAAATAGCATGGACAAGATGGGCCAAATGGTCTATCTCCATGCTGTATATCTCTGACTCTATGACGTAACAAGGTGGCTCATTAGCTACCACCTTCTCAAAGACAGTTTATGGACGGGCAATGAATGTTGGCCTTGCCAGTGATGCCCACATCCTGATGTATAGTGCAAGGAAATCAGAATCCCATTTGTTTCTCAGAAGGCACAAAGGAGATCACCACCGGTGAGCTTCACATTTAGTAGGGGCCTAGAGTCCTGAAACCTTACAGCATGGAAGATACAGCCCATCTTGTCTGCCTTTCTTTTCCAAGTGCATACTGTTTTCCCATGGAGTAGTGACTGAGAAAGCTGCTTCCACAACCTTTCCAGCCGTGCTTTCCAGATTATTACTGCACAAGAATGACTCCCACATTTCGCCTCTAATGCTTTGGCCACTAATCATCAATTTGTGCAGTGGGGGGCCTTGGGTCACAGGGGATAGCATCTGTGTCTCTGAACCATAAGTTCAAACCAGGACTTGATGGCGAAGGAAGACTTGCTCATAACTTGGCCAAACAGGTTGAAAATCCTCCTGTAAACCAGACAGGCCCACAGCAGGTGGTAAGTGTGCCAGAGACCTCTCGTCAAGTCACCCTTGATGCCAGCTGGCAGTCCTTAAGCTGCAGTCTCTGTCAACAGCCTGTTGACCTGTTGCAGCAAAAACTAAACATAGAAACCCGATGTAATTGCATGATCTTACTGCCTCGTGCATTTTGAGACATTGGAAGCTTTTCAGTCTAAGCTTGAAGCTCTGTCCTTTGGCTATCAACATTGCTGCCAGAGGCAACAGTCTCTCCTGGGTTATTAGGATTGAGATGAAAAGTTTCTTCACTCAAACGATGGCTGAACTGTAGAATTCCCTGCCACGTAAGATTCTTGAGGCCAAATGACCGAATGTATTGATTTCTGGACATTATAGGTGCCAGAAGGATAGGTACAGCAAGAGAGCAGGAGTATGGAATTGAGATAGCGGATCATCAATGATCATCTTGAATGGCAGAGCAGGTTCAATGGGCTGAATGGCCTCCTCCTGTTTTCTATGCTTCTGTGTTTACTCAACAAAATCTCACCCGATTTTGAGCACCTCTGTTCAATCCCTCCATTACCAATCCTTCTGTAAGGAGAACAATCCTAACCTGCCTAGTTTCTCCACGTAGTAGAAATTACTCCTCCTCCTAGTATCATTCTGGTAAATTTTTTCTTAATTCATTCAGGGGATGTGTGATGGTGAGCTGCCTTTTCAAACTGCGGTAGTCCATGTGTTGTAGGTCGACTCACAATGCACTTAAGGAGTGAATTCCAGGATTTTGACCCAGCGACAGTAAAGAGTGGCTGAAGGATAATCTCCTTAACTTCAATCCTTGTCAATGCTCCGAGAGTGCTTCGTCGAGAATTAAATGCAAAATTCCAGCCAGGGTCTAACTACTGATTTGAAAACAGGCTTAGCATATATCATCCTCACTTTAGTAATCCTATAAATCCAAGCATCCACATTTTTTAAATGTTATTTTTCGACTTGTTCAACCTGTGCTGCTCATTTTCAGTAGATAATGTTTAACTGCAGGATTGCAGGGCACATAAGTTCAGGAAGTCTTGCCCTCACATTTGTTCTTGTGGAAATTGTGTCTAAGGCTATTAAGGCTGTATTCGAGAATTCCCAAAGTCTGTTTTCCATGTAGAAATTGAACAGTGATACCAAGTTCCTTTAGCCATTACCTCCAAGGAACACAGTGTTCTCCAACTCTCAACTCAAGATTCAAGTTCCATTCCAGACCTCAGCAAGCTGAGTGCACAAGGAAGCCTTTATTTTATCTCATTTCACTTGTTGCGGGAAGACTAAGAATCTTTGCCAGCTGCAGAGCAGTGGTCAAAAGGGGCCAGAACTGTGTGCACACCACAGGTAACGATGTTAATGCTGTTCCATTATGGGTTTTAACCTGTTTTGTCACAGGCTTTTCACATAGCTCCAAATTGGATTTTGAGATTACAGACTTGCCAAGAAATGCTTGGAGAATGTTTAGCATCTTCTGTTGATGCAATGATTTAGACAGGAACAGGCCCTACTCCTCCCCTGCCCCATCCCCGGTCTGTGCCGATTCCTGGTCCTTATTTAGACCCGCTATTTATTGTATATGTGCGGTTTCTATCCGTCTCTTCGCTTCCCGTTTGTATGTCTGTCAAAACGTGCATTAAATGTTGCTAATGTGCCTGCTTCCGCCCACCTCCACTGGCAGTGCATTCCAGGCACCCACAACCTTCTGGGGTGAAAATCTTTCCCTACACACTTTTCCCCTAAACTTTCCCCCTCTCACCTTGAACCTGTGCCTTCTTATAGTTGACCTTTCCACCCTGGGAAAACACCTCTGACTATCCACCCTATCTATGCCTCTCAAAATTTTGTAGACCTCTATCAGATCGCACCTTGGCCCCCGTCTTTTTCCAGTGAAAACAACCTGAGTTTATCCAACCCCTCCTCATAACTAAAACTCTTCAGACCAAGCAACATCTTGGTAAACCTTCTCAGCACCCTCTTCAAAGCATCCACATCCTTCTGGTAGTATGGCAACCAGAAGTGCATGCAGTATTCCAAATGTGGCCTAACTAAAGTTTTGTACAGCAGTAACATGCCAACTTTTATATTCAATGTCTTGACTGATGAGGACAAGCGCATTAGATACTTTCTTGCCCACCTTATCTATCTGTGGTGCCACTTTGTGGAACTGAATGCCCAGATTCCTGTGTATGTCAATGCTCCCAGAAGTCCTGCCATTTATTATATAATTTTCACCTGAATTTGATTTTCCAAAGTGCATCACCTCACATTTGTCCTTGTTCAGCTCTTGTGTTTTCCCCTCATGGGGTTTGCTTTATTCTTATGGATAAGGAGATGCAGGAGCAGATGTTGCTGGGTTACTATTTGAGATAGGGATATCGCAATTGAGCCTGACCCTGAGACACACAGGTACATGCGGACACACACGCGCACACACAGACACAGAGATGCACAGGCACACGCACACACGCACAGACACCGGACTGATAGAGTCATCAAGTCATACAACACAGAAACAGACCCTTCAGTCTAACCAGTCCATGCCTAACATAATCCCAAACTAAACTAGTCCCACTTTCCTGCTCCTGGCCCATATCCCTCCAAACCTTTCGTATTCATGTATTTATCCAAATGTCTTTTAAATGTTGTAACTGTACCCACATCCACCACTCCCTCAGGAATTTCATTCCACACATGAAGGGTCATGTTTCGGACCTGAAACATTAACTCTGATTTTTTTCTTCACAGATGCTGCCGGACCTGCTGAGCTTTTCCACCAAATTCTGTTTTCGTTTCTGATTTACAGCTTTCTTTCGGTTTTTATGCCTTCTTAAAATCTTTCTCCTCTCATAGCCAGCGTGAAACCTCCAATGACGGCACCACTACCTCTGACAGATTTTGTATAAATTCATGTTTTTGCGTTATTCTCACTTTTTTTTTTATTGGGTGTACTGAATTTCTCTCTCTCCATTACAGCATTTACAGAATCCTGCAAACTTCCAGACTGCTGCCACTGAGCTCCTTGACTGGTGCGGCGACCCACGCGCATTTCAACGTCCCTTCGAGCAGAGTCTGATGGGTTGCTTGACGGTATGTGGGAGCTGTGTTAGAAATATCTTTACTATTGTTATCGTGGTTGTGTAACATGGCTCCTGTGTATTCCTGCTGGTGACGGAGGTTAAACCAACATTCCGGCCTGGCGTGCTGTGCTGGTTTTTAGCTGACCAGCTTTTTCAACTCCACAAGCTGTCGTCATGCGCCCCCAAGAGTCATTGATCCCTGCGGATCCAATGCTCAATCTCCTTCATCGGGAACTTTCCCAACTACCATTACTGAGACCTCCAAGCAGGAGATTGTGAGCATGGGCAAGCATCACTAAACGTTTACTTGTTAAGTTAAGGTACCGTGAAAGCTGGGAACGGGTCTGGGGCATTCATTTTTTTTTCTCAAAGTAGCAACATTCTTCTTAACATTGAGGTTCAGGTACAATATAATGTTCGTACCTTCATAATTGATCATCTACTTACGTGAAGACCAATCACATTTAATTCCCCTCGTTGCCATCTCTGTTGAAATCTCTGAACTAAAGGGCATCACAGCAACATTCGAAGAAACACATAAAGTTTTCATATCCTGCTTGACAACAATTACCCAAACAAACCTCCAAAACAGTAGAGTTTTATCTAGTGTGCACCCTTGCTATTTGTTATCTCTGCCTACCTTACAAGCAGTTACCACAGTTCACCATAATTCGTTGTAAATGAAACACTTTGAAATGTTCTTGAAAGATGTGACAAGAAGTTACACAGTTTATCTCTTCTTCTCTCGTTAGTGGTGAAATGTTTAAGTCAGTATTAGAGAAATGGAAGCAGGAGTGAGCTAAATCACTACCAAGCCTACTTACCCATTCGATAAGATCACGGCTGATTTTGTCTTCAACTCCACATTCCGGGCTGATTCCCTATACCGCTTAATTTCCCCCTGAAAAGTTTGTATCTCAGTCTTGAATGTACAAAATATTTGCATCTCAGCCTTGAATGTATAAGGATCAAGCTTTCTCTGGAGAACAGAATTCAAAGGTATCACAGTCCCCAAAGTGAAGAAATTTCCCTTTTTGTTGAAGTCTCGCACCTTTTCCTACATTACACTCCACCTTTAATTTATTTCTCACTCACTTAGTCTCCACATCCTTTTGCTGGCTTCTTGTGCCCTCTTCACAACTTGATTTTCCATCTACCTTTCTGGCTTCACTCAATTGGACCACAGTACACATGGTCCCTTCACCCAGTTCATTCTTAGAGATTGTGAATAGTTGAGATCCAAGCACTGAACTCTGTGGCACCCCACTAGTTATAGATGGCCAACCTGAAAATGATCTATTAATCCTGATACTGTTTCCCATTAGTTAGCTAATTCTCCATTCATGCAACTTATTACATTTCCCCCAAATTCTCTGAACTGATGTGTAGCAGCCTTTGACATGGCACCTTATTGAATGGCTTTTGGAAATCCAAATACATAACATCTGTTTTCCCTCAATCCATTCTGCCTGTTTCAATGGTGTATGGGTCAAACACAGTTTCCTTTTCATAAAACCATGTTGATTCTGCTTAATTGTATTCTGATTTTCCAAATGTCATGCCACTATGTCCTTCCTTAATGATGCCTTCTTGCAGTTTCCCAATGACAGATGTTAGACTAACTGATCTATAATTTCCAGCTTTCTGTTTCTTTATTAGAAGTGTTACATTTTTGAAGGGTTGAGGAAGTTAACTGCCTGAGATAATTTGATCTCTCATTCATACATTTTGGCTAGAGTAGGATATGAGGGTCCCTTCCTAGATGTGTAGCATAACTCCACGTGCTATCACATAACAGTCAAACTCCCAAACTGCCTAGTATTCTGGAAATGTACAGCAGCTGTATTAGCTACGGAAATTAAATTGAGATTTGCAGTCCAAGTGTAGTTCTTTTAAGCAGATGATTAAATTAGTGGCTGTGCGTTAATTCTAAACAGTTGACTTCTTTAGTCAACTGGGTCAAGTTTCCTACTTATTCAGCAATGCTCATTTTTGTCTTCAGGTCTTTCTCTGGATTCCCCAACCCAATCATCTCCACCCTGATGACCACTCCCACATGTCTTCAGCCTCCCTGACCACCCACTTTCCTTTCCTTGCTTTTGGTGACAATGCGTTGAATCACTTTAACCCTGCTCTTAACAACAGTGCCTTTACTTCATAAGTCCTTAATTAGTTATGAAGTACTCTGGGCTGTGTTGAGAGTATGAATTGTCCCATTATAAAATTAAGTGCTCTTGTCTGTCATCCACTCCTCTTCCCACCCCACACCCCACCTCCAAATACCTCATCACTGGCGTTTGCCTATAGAAACTTGCTCAGTCCAGTTTGCACTGACTTCTAATCTCTTTGTTCATGTCTCAGTCTGTGATTCCTTACACTTTGTAGACAACTGTCTGTGGTATTTTGCATTAAAGATCCTAAATAAAAACACCTCAGTGTTGTGATGGTGGTAGAAATATGTTAAATATTATTTTATTCCGGTTCTGAGGATTGTGGCTTCTGACAGTACAGGAGTTTTACGGGAGAATGGGACACCCATCCAGTGCAGTGTTATTTTAATTACAGATACAGTATCTTTTTATTTTCACTGACCCCCTCTGCAGCCTTTAGAAACAGATTAGTTTCAAGCTTTATTGCATTTGGGAGGCAAATTAAAACCCATTTAGCCTCTTGGCATCATTATGATATTAGCATTGTGAAAGGTCTCCACACAGTTCACTATTAATGACTGGGATAAGAGATGGTGCAGAATGTGTAAATATTTAAAAGCACTGCAGCATGCACTGCATATATATGTGTCTTTGAGAAATTAATTAAGTTTCTGCTACTCTGTATTTTACAGAGTGCTGCAGCGATCAATGTTTCTACCTGTTTTGGGATGTTCCAAGTGCTGGTGTTCACCCAGCTATAAACTGATGTGTGAAAGGGGGTCAGATTTCCGTCTAGTTCCATTAATTCTCTCCACACTCTTATCCCCTGCCCCTTTCTCCAAGCTTTCTTGCACAGAATTAAGATCTTTTTTACCACAAGGGTTTTAGCCCAATGGTCAGCTCTCTGGTTCTGCATTAATTCTCAACAGTTGACCTCTGCATTAACTTGGGTAAGGTCACCGACTGAAGTAGCCATGCTCATCCTTGTCCTCCAGTCTTCCCCTGGCCTCCCCAAACCGTCTCCACTCTGAGTACCCCTCCCACGTGTGTCCCTATCCTCCTGGAGATGGTGCCTTTTGAGTAGCTGTCCTCTCATGTCACATTTGAAGTTCTCCACCATTTGATCAATGGTATTGACGGACATTATAGACCATTCCATTTTCCTTGCTAGGACACACCATTATCGCTGAATGGAACAGCGATCGTAGAATCATTCAGCACAGAAAGTGGCCGTTTGATCCACTGAGCTCATGCTAGCTCTTTGAAAGGGTTATCCAGTTAATCCCACTTGGCTGCTTTTTCTCACCAACTCCTTTTCCAACTGCCTTTTTGGGGGCTACTCAGGAATCTGCTTCCATCACCCTCTTGAATAATGCATTCCAGATCCCAAACATTCTCTTTTCTCCCCTCATCTACATTTTCTTTCCCAATATGTTAATTTGGCCATTATCCTCCTGTTGGTGGAAACACTTTCTTCCAGTTTTCCAGCTTGAGCCTCTGTTTATTTCAAGCACTTCTTCTTGAGCTCTTTCTCTACATTTCCCCAGTGGATTTCTGGTAAATGTCCTCTGCACTCACTCCAACGCTGTGTCGTCTTTCCAGATGTGCGCAGAATTGAACAAACTGCTCCATTGTTGAGGTCGCAAATTGAAACCCAAGGTATCCTTGGCCCTTTATCTCAGGGTCATTGAAGTCAGTCAGAGAGACCGAAGGGAGAAGTCAAGACCCAGCAGTTTGAAGCATCTCATTTGTCACGTCCCATGATGACTTCCTGCCGAATTTTGCAGAAAGCAAGTAAACCCAAGGATAAAATCACTCCTTGGATACAGAGGGGAGTTTCACTGAGTTGTTGAACACAGCACTGTACCTGAAAAGATTCCTTGAGTCGCTTTAGAAGGGAGTCTGGCAATAGCTGTGGATGAGGAAGGTACAGTGTAAAAGAGGAAATGCAGGAGTGCGGGACCAAACCGTGACCTTTCAATGAGCCAGCACCAGTTCAATGGACTGAAAAGCCTCGTTACATGTTGTAAGTTGGTATGATCACCCACAAGGCGCAGTTGATCCACCCTGGTGTTTGTGTTTCACACGAGCTCCTCCTGCCCTACTTTATCTGGATTTCAATCCCAATCCACAGGTTAGAGAACAAACACAGAGGCTTACACTCCAGTGCAGCACTGAGGGACGACTGCACAACTGGGGATGCGGTCTTTTGGATGAGTTATGACAGGGCGAGGAATGCTCAGCGATCATAAATTTGAATGCGTTTACTCTCTTCAAGCAAGTGTCCATGGCTTGACTTGAAAAATCTCAGATAGTAATATTAAGAAACATGTCTCAGCACTCTGCTTGAGTAAGGAGGTTTCTCCTAAAACAATGTGTTTGACTTATTAGCAATAACCCATTTGTTGTGACTCCTTAATATGGACTAGGCTGGTTCCTGTGATTGTTGAGGGAGGTTGTCCAATGATGAGAGATTGAGTAGACTCTGGAGTTTAGCAAAATGAGAGGTGATCTAATTAAATCTAATTTAATCTAATTAAAAGAAAACTTAATAAGAATGGAAGAAAATGTGAAGAAAATGTTTCCTGAGGACTCTGGCGCAGTGGTAGTGTTCCTACCTCTGGACTAGAAGGCCTGGGTTCAAGCCCCACTTGCTCCAGAGTGAAATAACTCCATAGAGGCCGGTATCCCATCACCAAGTCCCCCTTTATTTACACGTGGAGAGTCCTTGATACTGATTCAACTTCCTCGGAGACAGCTCTGAGTGAACAGGATGTCTGACATTCCTAAATAAAAACCGAAAGAACTGCGGATGCTGTAAATCAGGAACAAAAACAAAGTTGCTGGAAAAGCTCAGCAG